CTGACAATGATGAATGATGATGATGACAACTTCGAACACATGCCTTATTCCTACAGCGAAAAGTGTAGCTGACACGATTGGAATTTGTTCCGGTGCCTCAATGTTGGTTCAAATATCACCAGTTGCAGCTGCACCGCAAACCATCGTATTCTCTGACGGACTAATACCATGGAGGAGGTATATGTCTGTTATTCACCGCACTGTGACCATTTGTCCACTTAGGCGGGTGTTTCGCACCTCCAAGATAGAAACAAATGTGGAGTCACATAAGAACAGTAGGTAAAAGCTTGTTTGTATCAACAGCTGTGTGGCTCTTAAGCGAGGACATGTACTCGTACACCCCCGAAGAAGCCATGGGTTCTAAGTTCTGTCATACAGGGCCCCGTTACTTCAAAAATCCAGCAGCAGTAGATGATTAACAGAACTTCAGTTCGAGAGGCTATAACCTTATGATTAAAGGTCGTTCTTTGCTTCGAACGTTTTCGCCACCGGTGGTCCCACGTACGACCTGGAGTGACCTAATGCCCGGCTTGTTCAGATTGGATGAACTTGGAATCGGCGTTCGGAAATTGATTTCAGAGTGCCCATCTTTCTGACGTCAATGAGTTGTTTAGGCTTTGACATAAACGGTGATACCAGGTGAACAGAGATGTGTGTCTTTAAAGGGATTACTCGGCCCGTTCCACCACATATCGGTCAGTCAAGAACGAGATTATTTGTAACTGCGCAGTTCATTGTTGCATGTTGACTAGAATACTTCCAGGAATCCTAAGGATGTATAATCGATTAGTTTTTTGCTCAAATGCGGAGCTACAGCAGTGACGATTGCTAGGGGACCGTCACCGTCAAAATTTTAATAAACAGGTCACCACACAGACAAACCATGGACCAACCTGATACAAAATACAGGGAGCAGCGGGTTACGACAGTGCACAATCATACCGCAAAAGAGTCTAGTCACTTGGTGACAATTCACAAAGTTGAATTATCGTTTCTACATTCCCCGTATCGACGTTATATGTTGTCACATTTAATCTATATCAGAACTTTAGTGTACGTAAAATGCCGTTTTGTTGGACGTCAAGCTTCAAAAATTCATATAGACACCAAATTGGGTATAATTCTAGGAGGGCTGCACGACGATGGGGGATTGAGACACTAGACATGTGGTCGGAACTCCCCAAATGAGATTCAGTCCCATCAGAGCTCACTGCTACTCTTTCAGAAAAAGAGAGGTACCAACAACGGATCGGAAGAGAGCAGGATCTACAGGCATCCCAGAGGTTGGGGCAGGATTGACTGACTGAATGCCGCAATCAAACCCATCCATGACTTTGCGACTGCTC